TATGGGCTTATGTGTCTCAGGATTTTGATACAACGAGCATTACGAAGACCATCATTGAATCCATCGATGGTTTTCGGTGTGACTTTGTCAGCCTTGACAATCTTCAGAAAGAACTTGGAAAGAAGCTGAGTGGGAGGAGATACCTGCTTGTTCTGGATGATGTTTGGCATGTGAGCCCACAGGACTGGGAGAGGATAAAAAACTTCTTGTACTCCGGTGCTCAAGGAAGTAAGATAATAGTGACCACCAGAATCGAAGAAGATGCTAACTTCATGACTACAAGATGTATGTCGTCAACAAATGCAGAGGCTTGCCCATGGCAGCTATAGCTTTGGGGTGTAGACTGTCCAGAGAAACTGACAGAAGCAAATGGAGTGCTATTTTACAGAGCGAGGCATGGGAATTCACCGGTGTGGACGGATACATTTCGGATGCTGTCAGCTTAAGCTACCAAATACTTCTCACAATATCTTAAGCCATGCTATACAAAAATAATATATATATATATATATATATATATATATATATATATATCGTAGCATTGTTAATATTCCTGTAAATTTGATTTCTTTTTCATATATATTTTTACATATAAAGTTTTAATTTGAAAAAGAGTTGACCAAATCTGGATTTCTAGATAAAACTTTCGTATAAGATCTTAATTTTAAGGTCAAATCATATGTCTCTCTCGTAATTCTAAATTATTTTTATGAATTAACGCAAATGATATGCTCTTGTGCAACAAAACGTCGATCCTATAAAATTTATTTATTAATGTTGATAATGGTACCTTGTAAATATAGTTGTAGAATTCAAGAACGAACATGGAGGTTCGAGGGTAATTGACATTTCAAAGCTTGTGAAGGCCTTTATTGCATCCACCTCGAACAGTAGCCGAAAATAAGAAGTTAATTAGGTCAATTTAATGTAAGGATTATATAGATACAATTACAATTATAATTGAAGGGCATCCATCCTGATCTAAATATGAATGGTGTATTGATAAAGTAAGAGTAACATATACGTCAAAATTAATAACAGATTGAAATTCTAAAGTTTAAATTTCTATTTTTAATTGTGTAAGAAACTCTAAAATTTATACAAATTTTGCTTACGATAACAACTTAAAATCTTACAACCCATGCTTTATTTTTACCAACATCTTCTATTTATAATTAATTTTCAACATATTTCATGAATGTATAAATTATAATTTTCATTCTCTTGTCTCCAGAATCCTTAATTCCATATTTGAAATCTCCCGTGGTCGGATATATAATTAGACTAACCTTTCTGTGATTAACATATTATCTTTTAAGCAATTGACACTTTAGTCATGGTCATATGTACTACAGCAGTGTGCAAGCAAGATCAGAGGCTGCAAGCATATGTAATTTATGAAGGCCTCAAAAGCTTCTTGATATCCTTCTGCAAAGTTATTTAAGATCAATCGTTAGATGATGGTATATTGTTGGCACCGTCGAGTATATCGAATACGATTTGACAAAGGGTAAGAGGGATGAGGCAAGGGAGCTTTGGGTTTACCTCAAATACTCAAAAGGGATATGGTTGGGGCATAGCGACCTACAACACGACCATCCTTGTCCATCATGAACTTAGTGCAGTTTCACTTGATGCCATCCCCCAAAATGTCGCCACCTTTGCTTGACTTCAAGAACTTATGTATTTAGATCATTCACATCGACCTATAGAAGAAAATTAATTGCAACTAGAAAGTCAAGCGACTGAGTAGGTTTCTCTCAAACATAATGATCTGATAAAAAAAAAAAAATCAATTTATATTGGGGTAAACACTGGTCAAGAATGGTTTAGCTGTGAGATTTGCCTACAGAAGATTATCGAAGGGATAAACCCAGAAATTGAGAAAATAAAAAAAACAATAATTTACCTTGTCAAATATGGGATATTCAGCTTTGAATCGAGTGCAAGCAAACTCAACAATCTCCTCATTGGTTCATGCCCAGCAAATTGGTTGCATGGAAAAGCCAGAATCTCAAAATCTGTGCCATTTAAACAATCATCGTAGAAGAAATATGAGAACAAAAAATTTCATGACTGCATAAATTTGGCTCTCCTTTCTAGATAAAATTACTTCATGATGGATAGTGAGAACAGGCAGATTTATGCCCCTCAATTCTATTTCATATGCTTCTCGTGGACAATTATGGGTGTCGAAAGCTGCAATTTTGAATTGCAGAATTTATCTGAATCATCTTAATAATAAGCAAAAGCCTGTTTTAGAAGATAAAGTTCACTTTAATTATCTTCACTCTATTTGAGTTTTATGATCCAAGATTTAGAAAATAGTCGATGAAAAAAGGATAAGGAAAGAGAATTTAACAAGTGTAAGAACATGCAGCTCGGCCAAAGAAACAATATATCTGTTCCTTAATGTTACACATAACCTAGTAACGCAAAAACCTGTTGGCGTATCATAGAGACTTGTGCTAATCCCAGGTTTCCAAAGTCTCAAATGAAATCAGGAGTATTAAAGTTTCTAAAGAACAACAAACGCACGTGATTTTATTAATAAACAAAGATCAATTTGATTTCCATTTGGCGTCCAACGCCACCCTTGAAATGTTCTCTTAATGCTAAGATGCTGTGTGATAATAGCAATCCCTTCAAGCAATGTGAATAATGGTGCAAATAAATATTCTGCAACAATTACATAAACTAAAATATGATAGCCAAAGATAAACACATCCTTGCAAAAATTGTTACTTCACCATGAAACTGTCTTTTCACCACCAACCAAGGATTAACTTGTTCACTGAAAAATGTCAATTAAATCCTTCTTTCTTGCTCACACTGCTGCTCCATTTTATCCCTTCTCATAAAAAAAAGGCTACAGCCAATGAGCCATAATTTGTGCACTATTAATTAGTTTGTCATGGTCTTTCAATTGACACCATAGTCCAAGTCACATAATAATTGAGACAAATCCTGCTCTTAAAAAAAATTGAAATACAACATATAAGACTCCTGAAGCCTCTATTAATAAAGAAGTATTGGGAAAATATTGGCCAAATAGGTCTCAGCTTATCTTATAACTAAGGAATCAGCATAAAGAATCATATTCTTTTTATGATTGGTTAATGTATGAACATATGCCAAAAAAGAAAAAAGTTCTAAGGCTAGCTATTGTAGAAGTCTCTTCCCAGTTATTGTGATGGAGAAAGTGCCAATTCAAAAGGAATGGATTCAAAATGATGACACAACATGGATCAGGATTATAAATTCCTCCTATTTTCATCTATTGAATAGTGTTGAAGTACTCTTGGAAAGTTTGTTGAGAAACATTTCTTTAACAAGATCTGATTATAAGGTATTAATTGGTAAGAACAGGCAGTTGTCCTGATTACAAATAGAGATATTTGTAGCTATCAGACAAGCATAATTAATACGAATAAGAGAAAGACAAGATTTGTGGGCACCAAACAGAGCGATCAGCAGTTGCTGGGAAACTCTCCTGTAAATTGATATGATAATGCAACTGAGCAGAACAAGACGAAGGAAGACTTTAAATTCCAGCTAACAGAGCCAAGTTGCTTCCTTATACTTTTCAATAGAAAGATCAAGGAAGACTGACGATTGCAAGTTGCTCATCTACTATCACAACAGCAAGGTTGCATCATCTCTGAATCTTAGGTTGTGATCAGAATCTGTTGCCACAATTCCTCTTTTATCGTGTTCATGCATTCTAAAAATCTTATTCTTATAAATTAATCTTAATACTAATCGAGATGTTATAAACTCCTCCGCTTAATGGTTTGACATCTTTGACAAAATTCAGAATAACCCAAAAATATTTAATAAAATTAGAATGATATAAAAAAGATTAATATATACCCTACGTAAGGATGACATATACAAATCGAGAAATGATATTAGATACAACATAGTATTTAGGAATCATTAACACTCAACCCATATTAACAGTCTTCTTGTGCCATACCTTCTCACCTATAGCAACAATAACAATAAACCAGGGAACATCACATATATATTTATGAAAGAAAATCGTAAAACTAATTAGTTAGTTAACCACCTATGATAGAATCAACATTTTTTTTAGTTTTTTAAAAAAATTTATCATGTGGACTTCCATCTTTTGATTTTCTTTAAGATGAATGAGATTATTTTCTATCAATTTCATCAATAATTTTTTTATTTTTTTATAAATAAAAAAACTTATGCCTTCTTCATACTAATGGGATGAGATTTCAATCCTGAAAAGGCTACTCAAAGCTTACTCTTTGAATTTTTATTTTATTTTATTGTGTACTGGACTCTATAATTTATACAAATTTTGTTGACAATACCAACTTGATATGGTACACTTTCTTTTTACCACTATCTTTTATTTAGCCAAGATGATCAAAATAATTAATTTTAAATATATTTCAAAAAATATAAATAATAATGTTCATTGTCTCATCTTTAGAAGTCTCAGTTCTGCAATTTCTATTTCTCATAGTGGGATTTCTAATCAGATTAACTTTTCTGTAATTAACACATTATCTTTTGAGCAACAGACAATTTTATTTATAAAAAATAATAATAACAAACCGTAATGTCTCAATTATTTAAAATCAATTATTGAGTTCCATACAAGACAATATCTTTAATTAAATAAAAATATTTAAAATTTTATTAATGAAAACTAGCAAAATTATAAATGTCGATTCATTCCTGATCTCAATCACCCAACCCTTATTTATGGAGGGTAAGAATTAGATCCCTAAGAAAATGTTGATGTAACATCTCTTCTTCTTTGTATTGACTCTGCAAAACAGTTTGAACCAAGAATTACCTTCTCGTGAACTTTGCTTACATTCGAGTGCTAATGGCAACAGGTAATCGAGTGAAGCTCGTCTACATCCCGAGTCATGACACAGAATCCATGGCAAAGTGGCTCAGAGAGGGGCCACACTCTGTTGACCATAAATGGATCATTCTACCATGCACAGATCATATTGTTCACATTGACATGCATGCAGCTGCAGCATGTCCCATTAATGGGAGACTCATCAACTGAAAAGATCTGGGCATGAGATCCAAGAAGATCATGCAGTTGCACATTTGGTGGACTTGAGCTTATGATGCAACCAATATGTATTCGATTGATGAAGACAAGCATCTCAAACAAGAGGATCATTACATGAGTAGATCAAATTAAACAGCTCCATCTGTTGCAACTGCAGATGCATCCATAGCTTCTTCAGTCGGATAGTTGTAGCAATGTGCAGTTTGGAGGATACAAACTTACAGTAAGACTCGAACAATGCCTTGTAGGAATATGATGTTGGCTGGCCCCTACTTCATTGAGCTCACTATTGTCACGCTATCAATGTTATACAGACTTTTCTGCATACATTATCCAAGTTTTCTTTGCATGCCCCTCTAATTCTTATACCCAAAACATAGGCTTCATACTTACCACCTATGTAACATTTGTGACTTAATTATTTCGTACAATTCATTTCTAAATTATGATATCAGTGAATAATTTCTATTCTATCATTGTCTATGAATTGCCTCTGTTCAAAATATAAAAACACATCTACGTAATATATATATATATATATACATATATATGCAAAATTCATAAATATTATAGTGAATCTACATGATTTGACTGTCAATGTTGAATTCAAATTTACATCACTACTCTTTACACACACATATATCCTTCATGAAACTAATAATAATGATTAGTCTGAGTTAAATTGGGCATATGCAAACGTGCGTGACATAAATACAATATTTAAGTGACGAACTTGTAAGGCTACACCAACCTGCAGGTGATGACAGAGGGGAAGCGTTCTTGGTGTTGAAACTTCGCCTGTCTTCAAGTCTTATTTTAATTCAATTTGTTTGAAAAAGAAAACACCTACTGAAGAGATTTATTCTTTTTCATACACCTGAAAACAATTATTACCACAACCATGATTCCATCAATTGTGAGGAAAATTGTATACATGATCAATGTGGATCATCTCACACCAACACAATTATCTTAGATTACAGATAATAACAATACATAGCTTATCTTATGATTAATCATGAGAAATCTGCGGTCAACAGCTTGCAATACACAAAATCTTATCATGCCCTGTTTGGATCATCCTCCATTAGTCTGAAACTATTCAACTGACTGATTCAAATACACAAAGATTCCAAACACCAATTGGATCTGTCAATACACCTTACAAGAAAACCAAACTACCACAATCTTGTGGGTTGTGACAAGAGTGCATAGAGAGCTATCAAAGACATGTTTCAATCCATCAGTTGGATCTCTACTTCCAATAAACATTAAATGGGATAAGAGCGTAGACCAAGAATCCTTCAACTATTAGGTTATCTGTCAATATCATGTATTTGTTCCTCATTTCATATTGTTGTCTATCCTCAAGTCAGTCAACCATGATGCCTGATCTTGATGAGCCCCAAAGTTGGAACAGCTTTCATCTAAAAAAAGAACTCTTCAAGAACCCTATCAAGAGTTTTAAATGACTGGAGCATCTTCTTGAATGTGAAGGTTCTGAGAATTTCCTGAGAACTGCCAAATAGGAGAAATTAGTAGCTATTGGACAACCATAATTAATACGAATAAGAGAGACAAGATTTGTGGCCACCAAAAAGACAGCTATCAGCAGTTGTTAGGAAACTTCTCCTGGAAATTGACATGCTAATGCAACTGAGCAGAACAAGATGAAAGAAGACTTTAACAGAGCCAAGTTGCTTCCTAATACTTTCCAATTGAAAGATCAAGGAAGACTGACGATTGCAAACAAAAGCAAGTTGCTCATCTACTAATGCGACAGCAAGGTTGCATCATCTCTGAATCTTAGGTTGTGATCAGAATATGTTGCCACCATTCCTCTTTTCTCATGTCCCTGAATTCTAAAACTCTATCCATCTCTATTTTTTGTTTCCTTTATCTTCAAGAACTTGCTAACTTTACTCATGAAAAGGAAGAAAACGATGATCATCTTAGCCTTAAGTGAGTGAGGGAGCTTGTAACATCCCGATTAATCCCATGCCAGAAGTAAGCAAGACTAAGATAGACTTACAAGGATTTGATGGGTGTATTGTTAAAATTTTAATTAAAGTATTTTAATCAATAATTTGAGGTTAACAAAGTTGACAGACCAGTTAGCCCATCATTCCGACGTCATGACACTCAGCACTCCCTTATATGATAAAGATTCCAGGGCAGACTGAGTCAACCATGTTAGCTTCCAAAACTCCATCTTAATGGCAAAGCGGTTCTATCCACACCTTCACAGTGTGTGATTGCTCAGCTACCATCTCCTATACAAGTCCAAAATTCAACAAACACCCCTAAATCTTTTTTCTCAATTCTCTTGTATCTTTTTCTTTTTCAAAAACTTCTCACAAACATTCCTCAATGGAGCTTCTCTCGGCTGTCATACCACTGTTGGCTTCCAATTTGGTTCAACTGTGGGAGGAACTGCAAACAGCCTACGGCCTTGATGCTGAGCTAGAAAAGCTGCAGAGCTCTGTCGCCATGATTCAAGCTGTACTGAATGATGCACAGGAGAGGCAACATATTAGGAACGCGGTGAAGCATTTGCTAAATGAGCTCAGCCAGGCTGCATATGATGCAAATGATATCTTGGACGAGGTGGCAACCGAACGCCAACGCTGTCAGCTGATCAAATATGCATCGGTACGCAATTTCTTGGCCCCCATAAATCCTAAGCGTGAACTGTTCAAGCGAGAAATATGCCTCAGGGTAAAAGACATAGAACACAGACTAGATTCCATAGCAAGGAGATGCCCCTTATCTGAATTGACTCAGCGCAGTGCACCCCGGAGGCAGCAGAGTTATCAGACCACCTCGCTAACTCCTTCTCTGGTTCTTGGTCGTGAGAGTGATAAGCAAAAGATAAAAAATATGTTGCTGCCAGTGGCTGAGGTGACTGACCAAAGCATCACAGTGATTCCTATCTTTGGGATGCCTGGTATAGGGAAGACGACTCTCTCTCAACTAGTCTGCAATGATGAGTCTGTGAAGAACCATTTTTAGCTTAG